CTTGATCATTACAAAATGGGCAAAATGGCCAGAGCTGGGTGGATCCAAAGCCAGGAACCAGGAGCTTCTTGCTGGTCTCCCAAGTAGGTGGGAAAGGCCCAAGCACTTGGGCCATCTGCTGCTGCTTTCTCGGGCACATTAGTAGGGAGCTGGATTGGAAGTGGAGCAGCTGGAACTTGAACTGGTATCTATATGGGATGCTGGCATCTCATGTGGTGGCTTCACCCACTGTGCCACCATGCCGGTCAAGGGATTTTTTTTTATGCACTCATCCAGTATGTATCATTTAACTGAGGGATTTAGTCTATTTACATTCAAGATTACTTATCTTAACCTGTTTACTTTGAAAATACTGTTGTTCTGTTTCCAGTGGGTTTTATACTTCCACATATTTTCAGGAAGGGAGGGACAAAGAAATAAAAAGAGAGAAGAGAAAAAAGAAAAGACAGAAGGAAAAATATACAAATTTACAGAGTACGAGACATGAATTTTTATGGTTGTTATCTTTCTCTATTTTTTTAAAGATTTATTTATTTATTTGAAAGGCAGAGTTACAGAGAAGCAGGGACAGTGGCAGAGAGAAAGGTCTTCCATCCACTGGTTCACTCCACAGATGGCCACAACAGCTGGAGCTGGGCTGATCTGAAGCCAGGAGCCAGGAGATTTTTCCAGGTCTCCCACTTGAGTGTAGAGGCCCAAGGACTTGAACCATCTTCCACTGCTTTCCTAGGCCATAGCAGAAAGCTGATTTGGAGTGGAGCAGCTGGGACTTGAACCAGCATCCATATGGGATGCCAGCACTACAAGCAGCAGCTTTACCCACTACACCACAGCTCTGACTTTGGTTGTCATCTTTCTTATACTTCTACATGTAAGCTTCCCTTAAACATCTGTAATTCCCTCAGCTTTTGCCTATCTTGGAAAGTCATTTCTCCTCATTTATGAAAGATGACTTCCCTGGGTAAAGTATTCTTGGTTTGCACTTATTTTCTTTTAGAATTTGGAGTATATCATTCCATTACCTGCTAGCCTACAAGTTTTCAGCTGAAAAGTCTGTTGTTAATCTTGGAGAATTTCCCTTAAAAGTGACCTGATGCTTTTCTCTTGCAAATTTTAGAAATCTCCCTTTGAGCTGTACTTTTGAGAGTTTGACTATAAAGTGTGGTGGTGAGAATCATCTGGTCATTTCTATTTGAAGTTCTATGGGCCTCCTGCACTTAGATGTCTATGTCTTTCCCCAAATTAGGAAAGCATTCAGCTTTTATGTCATAGAATATATTCCTGTAGGGGCCGGCACTGTGGCACAGTGGGTTAATGCCCTGGCCTGAAGCACTGGCATCCAATATGGGTGCCAGTGTGAGACCCAGCTGCTCCACTTCCAATCTAGCTCTCTGCTGTGGCCTGGCAAAGCAGTAGAATATGGTTCAAGTCCTTGTGCCCCTGCACCTGTGTGGGAGACCTGGAAGAAGCTCCTGGATCCTGGCTTCAGATGGGTGCAGCTCAACCCGTTGCAGCCAATTGGAGAGTGAACCATCAGATGAAAGACCTCTCTCTCTCTCTCTCTCTCTCTTTCTCTCTCTTTCTCTGCCTCTCATCTCTCTGTGTAACTCTGGCTTTCAAATAACTAAATAAATCTTTAAAAAAAAAAAAGAATGTATTCCTATGTATTCCTCTAAGTTTCTGCTCCTCTTTTCAGCATCAGGAATCCCCACAATTTGAATATTTGCTTGTTTAATGGTGTTTCACGTTCTCAGAAGCTGTCTTCTTTTTTTTTTTTTTTTGTATTTTATCATTTTTCCCAGCTAGCATATTTAAAAAAAAAACCTGTATTCATGTTCAGATTTTTTTCTTCTGCTTGATTTAAGATGTTGTTCAAGCTTTCAACTGTATTTGTCTTATGGATTTGTGTTTGGTTATTTTTCAAGACCTCTATCTCTTGCTGAATTTCTCTTTCATATTATGCAGTGTGTTTCTGATTTCAGTCATTTGTATTCTCTTGTATCTCTTTGAACATCTTTACTATCATTCATTTGAATTCTTTATCAAGTATTTCACCAGTTTCCTTTTCTTTGTAGTGTATTACTAAATAGCATGGTTTAGTTTCTTGAGGTCATCACCTTGCCTTTCTTTTTCACATTTCTTGTGTCCTTAGATTGGTAGTTACACATCTGGAGGGGATTAAGTTGTTTCTGTCCCTTTTAATGAATGACTTTTATGGTAAAAGCATTTTTCCCCAGAAAAATGTGTCTTAATGTATCAGTTTGTAAGCTGCTGTGACTTTATTTCCACTGAAAGCTGTGGTTTAGTCTTCCTATATCTTCTTGCACAGCACTTGATGGTAGCAGCAATAGGGGCAAAAAGCACTCCTTTTAGCCCCATCAGGGTTGTATTGGTCTCAGTAGTAGCCTGTGGAACTAGCCTGGGTTCACAGATATGCTGCTCCTCAGTCCACTTTCACTAGGGTGTGGAAGTGCTGGCCCAGAAACCTGGAGGCCCTGCTCAGGTACTTCCATTGGCAGAAGCATCATCAGCCTCATGGTGGTGCTGACCCAGAGTCCAGCAGGGGATTTGTGAGGCCCCTCAATGCCAGCCCCAGGTATCTGTGAAATGTCTTAGCACCCACCTGCCTTTTATTACCCCATGCAATTACTCTCACTATGTTAAGCTACTTAGGTTTGGGAGAGGAGTGGAATGAACATTCCTGTGGACACTTCTACCACAATGCTAGGCCATACCCGGAACCCACAGCCCTCCAAGACCAGTGCAGCATGAGGTAAAGCCAAGGCTCACTTTACTCTGGGCTCCCTGTTGCTGAGGTAGACTTGTAGCCATGACAACCAAACTCAGGTGATGCTGGTCAAGATATTAGTCCAGTTGACTGGGGCCATAGTTCTCCATTTGGTACCAGTGTGGACCCAAGATGTGTCCACAGGAACTGGACTGAAGTCAGGGACCATTAGTATCTACTCAATGATAGTTTCAGAATATTCGAGATGCACTCATGTGCTCCTTTTGTGTTCTACTCCCTTGTGGTTGGAATCTTGCTCCTCATTGTCTTCCCATGTTAGAGGAGGGCACTAGAGGCCGAAACTGACACTCATCTAGGTTTCACCTGGGTTCCACAGCTAGCCACAGGACCCTGGACTATCTTGTGGATGTGTACCAAGTCCATATGCAGCTGAAAACACTTATCTGTCCTACCAGACATGGGTGTCTACCTGATGTCAGAGCAGATATAGAGGCTTTGTCTATGAAAACTGTCCCAGAGATAGGGACCTCTGGTCTCTTATGTGTGGCTGGGTCTCACAATGGGTCAAAATCTTGAGATCACTTTCCTGCCCTATTCCTCCGTGACTAAAGTCTGAATCCTTGATTTCTGGCTGAGATTGGGGGAAGAATGGTGAAGGAGCCCCCGGCCACATCTGAGTCTCACAGTCAACAGAGTATCAGGGTACCCATTAGGCTTGTGTGATGCTGGTGGTGATTCACCCCAAAACCACTCCTTTCTGGAGTGTCTGTCACCTCCTGATGCCAGAGAAAATCCAGAGGCTATGTCTGTGATCACTTGTGAGTGATATTGTAGAGTATGAAACCCTACAATATAAAAGCAGCACCCAGCCTCTCTTCTGTCTTCCTTAGCCCTTGGTTGCCCATTACCCAAGGAATTCACTGAGTTGAGTGAGTTGTACAGCTGCCCTTCACCAGACTCAGGAAATCATTTGCTTCTCCAATAGATAAAACCTTTTTCTTAAAAAAAAAAAAAAGAAAAGAAAAGAAAGAGTTACACGGGGCGGGGGGGGGGGGGTGCAGAAAGAGAGGCTGAGCTTCTGTCTGCTGGTTCAGTCTCCAAATGGCTGCAATGAGCAGGGCTGGGCCAGGCCAAAGCCAGGAGCCAGGATCTTCTTACAGGTCTTCCAAGTACTTGAGCCATCTTCCGTTGCTTTTCCAGGCACATTAGCAGGGAGCTGGGTGGGAATGGAGCAGCTGGGTCTTGAACTGGCACTCATATGGGATACCAGCATCTCAGGCTTCAGCTTAACCCACTTTGCCACAGCGCTGGCCCCAATAGATGAGGCTTTGATGGCCAGTGTTGTCTAGAGGGGTTATTTAGGGGAATTCAGGTCCAGGCAGGGAAATTTCAGGTCTGGGGCAGAAGGCAACTACCACTCACATGTAACCCCCCAAACCAACCTGGTTTTCATAAATTCCTCAAAGAGCATGGCATTGCTGACCAATCAAAAGAAGGTAGCAAGCACTACTGATGAACCAAGAGCTTGGACATGAGCTGATCATGCACCTCTGAGCCCCAATTTCAGTCTATAAGAACCTTCCCCACTAGCTCCTCAGGGAAACTGGGAATTAAGCAGTGGCTGCCTGGCTCCCTGCTCTGTGCTTTGCAATGAACACCTACTTTTTTTCACTATCCCATTGTCATTAATTGGCTTTCTGTGCATCGGTTGAGCAGACCCGGGTTTGGGTGTTCTGTAGAAACATCTCCAACTAGTCTGGGGTATTGTTTGGCAACACTGGCCTGGGACAGAAGCCTTTATCTTGTACCAGCTCTCCCTTGGGCAGGTCCAGTACTGCAGTGCAAAGCAAAGTCCTAGATCCACTTTCTCATCCTACTCTCCAGTGGCTGGGAGTCTTGCTCTGCTATCTGCTGAAGGTGAAGAGGTGGTAGCTGCCCTCCTTGACTGCTCGAATAAGGAGGATCTGTAGGCTCAGATGGGAACCTATTCAGCTCTAGGTTTCACCATGGCAGACCTAGTACTAGCTTTTAAATCTCAGATCTGGATTATATTCTGTCTCTCTCTCTCCCTCTCCCAAGCAGGAGCATTGCTTTCCAAGCTGTACCACTTGGGGCTGGAGGAGGGATGACACAACAGCTCTTTACTTACTGCCTTCTTCAATGCTCTTTTCTTATTGTTATACTAAAATCAGACACTATGGTCCCTCCCCTGGCTTCCTTGGCTCTTGTGAATATGAGTTGGTGTGAGAATAGTTGCTCAAATTGCTGTCTCAAAATGTGGAGATCTTTGCCAAAGCATCTTACTCGGCTGCCTTCTTAGGAACAGCTTTTCTCCAGTCTATTTCTGAGACTGACTTATATATCCCTAATCACAACAAGCTCCTAAAGGAAACATAATTTTCTGGTTAGCTTATTCCATAATTCTAATAATGCAAGTATTCACATAGAATTTTATATAGAGAGAATGTTGGTTATTGTTTCAATATTATACATTAGTAAAATTCATTAAAGAACATCTGAATAGTTATGGCCAATATCATATGCTATTAATATAAGTAGAAATAACATGTTTCATTTGTTTAAAGATTAGAAAGTATACTTCTAAACTTATTCTCATTTACATATTCTATGGGGTTTCTAAAATTCTAAGTTAGGGTCTGCAATACTTACCCTAACTTTATAAATGAGCACATAGAACCTAAGAGAGGTTAGATGATTTCCCCAAGGTCAACATGGAATATGGAAATGAGACTGAAATTTAAGTCTTCCAAATTAAAATCGACAGCCTCCACCATTCCCCATACTGTAGTGCATCTGCTCTTGTGTAGCACACACAGATAAGTGAATTACCCAACGATTATTCCAAACTCTATAAGTAGACAAACTATGTCTTTTCTCTCTTCCTCTATACCACCAGAACATCATAACCTGTGATTCACATCTGCTAGTCTCAAAGCACTTCAGCCACAAAGCATACAGCACATCATTGTCCTCCTAAAGCATATTTGAAAGTAGACTGTTGGGAATGATTAAGACAGACAATAATAGACTGATTAAGGATGGTAGACCATTTCTGACAGTGCATAGGATTAAATACGCTAATCAGATTTTGGATTTAGAGAACCCAGATAAATCCAAAGTAGAACAAGACAAGGAACTCAAGCCTGTATTTTCTTGCCTTTCAGAATAACATATTTGTATTTTATCCATGTCTCCTTCAGAGATGAGCAATTTATGAAGGCTTTGCCCAGGTGAGCTGATTATATTTTCCTTTTTTCCTTCTTTTTGCATGAAGCACTCTCTATTTTAATTCTTGCTGTCCTAAATTAGTTGCTTGGAAAAGGATAATAGCTAAGAGAAAATTATTTGAATGTTATAAATGAAAGCAATTTAACAACATATTTCTTTCCAGTCACAAAATATCCAACAGCTGTTTGTAACTTATTCTGTTACCAAATAGAGAGGATGAATACATCCCCCCCCAAAAAAAAAAATCCTAAATGATCAACATGTTTAGGCCTCTTTTATTTATACTAAGACATCATATGCACATTTAAATAAGCACCATCCATATCTTAATTTGGTTATTTCAAATAAATTGTGCAATTGGAAAGCAAGGAAAATGCAATTGACAAGCCAAGCTTCTGAGCATAATTGAAATTCATTCTGAATACAGGGAGGGTCAATTTCATTTCAAAGCAGTAGACCTTGTTTTGAATTCCTGGATTCTGCTTTGTTTCTGCAGCAACATTAAATTGCCTAATCACCAAAACGATTTTCTCATCTTGTTCAGTTAGTTGAATTTTGCTTCGTTGATTCTACACCAAATTTTACCTAAATAAATGTTTATATTTATTTTTTTAGAAATATATTAATTACTCAAAACATTGTGATATGATTTCAAGAAAGAAGACACTAATTAAATGTTTTCCCGTAACAACAATTGCAATTACTCTGTTGATTTGTACCAGTCTTATAGGCAAAATATTCCGGCTGGTATCTTTTGTGTAAATAATCACAAATCGAACTTTGGAAAATAACCTGTTTGCAATTTTGTTGTCAGTTGATCTTTAAATAATGTGCCCACTATTTCTGTGGCAATGTTTATTTACTGTGAAGGAGTCCTTTATCACTAGGTTCTCTGGCAGCTCTTCCTACCTTCCTCACGCTCAGAATTTGAATGTTAAATAGTTTTCATTTCCTTTTCTTCTCCCAGAATATAAACTCCATTTATTCAGACTGTAATAATGTTGAGGACATATCCTAAATATCTTTATTTGGAAAGTAAAGTGAAAAATAAGCCTGTTTATCTATGTTTGTTTTAAGATAGTCAAGCAGTTGGTAGCAACTGACCTATTTGAAACTTTTATGTGAAGTCGTTTAACTTCCTAAGAGAAATTGCAATAATCATATCATGAAATTACAATGAGGATGCTCAAAAAATAGTCGTGACTCTTTTCTCTGGGGAAAAAATTACCCAGTGACTAAGTTTTCAAGTAAGTCTTTCAAATAACATACTGAGAATTCAGCTGTAATGGATCAGATTCTCAACTCTTTCATTAGATATCATGCCCCTTTCATTGATTGTTTACTGATTATGTTTACAAAAAGCAGAATTAAAATTCTGAGTGTAATCTGATTTAAGATGTATGCATGCTACACAAAATGGATATATGGTTCTTTTCTCATGACACTGCTCTGACCTCAGTAAATATGAAATGGAATGGAATTTTAACAGTGATTATCCTCTCAATACAAACACATCATAAATTGATTGAGTTAACTGAGCGGATTAATTGAGTATATTTTCTCTTTCTATCATAATTGGCTAGGCCCTAATTTACGCCTTTTTCTATGACAGTGAGCAAAATAGCACAATGAGATACCAAAGCTGTGTAAAAGGAAAGGTAGCAGAAAATACCAAATATAGAGCATTTTTAAATAAATGCCTTTTACTGGTTTCAAAAACACATTAATTTGGATTAAGATACAGAAATTAATTTCCTTTAGTAAATAAGTGAACATAGAAAATGTTCAAAAATGCTATTTCTAAAAGTACTGGAAGCCATTGACCTGGATCTTCTTATTGAAGCTTCTTGGGAGCTTTTATATCTGTTTACTTCAATATTCTTATTAAATTATTTTTTCAGAAGCAACACCAATAATTTCAAGGTAACTCAAGCTACCTTGAATGATGAATTATAAACAAGCAATGAGGTTTCTCATTGCTTAGAGTACCCTAAATATTGCTACAAAATAATTTGCTATAAATAGCTGATGATGCTAACATTGTCACTAAAGGCATTTTAAAGGACATATTGTCTCTTTTTTCTGAGTGACTACAAGAAATGGAATGAGCCTATAGCCATTCCCTGGTTTACCACGAGCACATACAAACCACAGCTTTGGTTAGCTGATGAGTGTTTTGAATGTTCATCCCAGACATTTACTTGAGAGTTTGCTTCCTCTTTAGAATTTAGCAGTGTGGTTATACAACTGTTTTCTTTGATTCTAGGCTACAGGGGTTCTGCTTGGAGCAATCTAACACTCTCTGGTATCAGATCTGCCCCCCGGGGGAATGACATGACTTCTTCATTGAAAAAGTCACAGGCATTTCATATTTTAGAGGAATTACACACTGAGGTTTCTGTATGAAGATAGAGACACGGTGTATTCAGATGCTACTTCCAACCGAGCTTTAAGGTTGCATATTTCAAAATTAAGAGGATGTCATTTAAACCTAGCAAGAGTTGACAATTCAGCAATTACTAAGTCTTCAGAGAAGCATAGTTCTTCTGTAATATGGGTACTGTAATATGGGTACTGTAATATGGGTTCAATAACTGAACATAGAGACAGCCTTTCTCTTAGAAAACTCAAATACATTCTTCATTTAATTAGTAGGTAAGGAAAGTCATGAGCGGGGGGGGGGGGGTAATTCCTGAGAGGTATTCAATTAGCCTTTTGTACATATTCTTTTGCTAGCTTTTACAAGGTATCCAATAACATATCCAAGTGTGTCTATGTGCTTTACTCTTCCCCTTTATTCCTCTTAACAGAAATGTACCTTCCTACTACACTTCGTATTGCTTGAGCTATCTAAGTGTTGAAATAAAGCTGTCGCCTCTTATCTTATTGTAGACAGTACAATTGGCCAAAGGTGAGGCATGTAAAATGTCTTATGGGACTAGGTTAATATTCAAAGTGAGTTTCTTGATGTATATGCTAAAAGTCCTTGTGCAAGTCGGAGCTGGGGTGGAGGAAATTCATAATGGAAGATTTCTCAGACCTGGCAATTAAAAAAATATAGAGTAACTAGAGTTCTAACTATGCTTGAATATGGGGATTCCTCTTCATACAGTGATATTCAATTTATGTGACATTCTGCACAGGGGATTACTAAATTTGCACTCTAATGGTCATTTTGAAGCCAGAAAGAAAATGAGGCAAAGCAAGATATAGTTGGTCAGTGATTTCTAGTTGAATAACATCGTGATTCTTGCACAGACAGTGCAACTGCATCTTCCAAATACAGGTATACCAGTAGCACTGCTAGTATGCAAAATGGCTTTGAAGAGTGCAAATAAGGACATTTCCTTTTTATTACCTGTTTGTTTTCATTTTAATAAGTATTATATATAACTCAGAAGTTCACCTCTTTTGTCTGACATGAAGCTAAGTAAAAAATTTAATGACTCAAAAGCCAACTAAGCAAATAACACATATGTTATGTGTTGTACACATAACATGCATTGAGTGTTAGAGAAAACAAACCACAGGATCAACGGTAAGAAAACTCATCAAGTAAAAAATTGCATTGGTAGTTATTATCTCCAGTTTCCACTCAGAATTGTTTCATTCATTTTTTAAATGTGTATGTAATGGACTCAGGAGGCAGAGAGAGACAGGCAAACAGATATAGCCCATCCACTGGTTCACTCTCCAGATGTCTTCAACAGCCAGCTGTGGACCAGGCTGAAGTCAGGATCCAGGAACACAATCCAGTTCTTCCATGTTAGTGGCAGGGATTGAAATGCTTGAGCTATCTGCTGCCTTCCAGACTGCACAATAGCAGGAAGCTGGAATCGGGACCAGAGGTGGGACTGAAACCAAGACATTCCACTATAGAATGAGGGCATCCCAAGGCAGGCATTAACTGCTGTGCCAAATGCCTGGACTATAATATCCATCATTTAAGGATGTCTCAGAACTTATTGCAAGTTGTTCTTTACAGTTCTCTTCCTTCCCTCTGTTGAAAAGAGTAAATAAATTTATATCTGTATTTTTACACATTAACATGGATAAAATATTTGAATCTATTAGGTTAAATTCTTTTATTAGGAACATCCAAATTTCCTATCTTATGAAACCAGTGTTTCCTTATTCCATCCATACCATAGGAAGAATAATGAGGCACACAGGGAGTGTTTATGTCCATTTGAAAAAAACACACATGATAATCACTGGAGCACAGATCTTTTAAGGCCTTTACAAAAAAGATTTATTTATTTGAAAAGCAGAGTGACAGAGAGAGAGGGAGGGACAGAAAGAGAGAGAGAGATCTTCTATCTGCTAGTTCACTCCCAAATGGTCACAATAGACAGGGTATGGCCAGGTCAAAGCCAGGAGCCTGGAACTCCATTCAGGTCTCCCATGTGGGTGTAGGGGCCAAAGCTCTCAGGCCAACTTCCATTGCTTTCCTAGGCACATTAGCAGGGAGCTGGTTCAGAAACAGAGCATCTGGGACTTTAACCAGTGCTCCAATGTGGGATACTGGCATAGTAAGTGGTGAGTTAACCTCTGTGCCGCAACACTGACCCTTTTTAAAGTCTTAAGTTCAGAAGAAAGGTACAGAAGAAACTAAATACTAAAATAATTATCTTTAAATGTAAGTTTTGGGGCTGGACCTGTAGCTTAGCAGGTAAAGCCGCCACCTGCAGTGCCAACATCCCATATGGGTGCCAGTTTGAGTACTGGCTGCTCCACTTATGATCCAGCTTTCTGCTAGGAAAGCAGTAGAAGATGACCCAAGTCCTTGGGCCCCTGCACCCACATGGGAGATCCAGAAGAAACTTCTGGCTCCTGGCTTCGGATCAACACAGCTCCAACAATTATGGCCAACTGGGAAGTAAAACAGTGAATGGAAGACCACCCCCCCTCTTCTCTGCCTCTCCTTCTGTCTCTGTGTAATTCTGACTTTCAAATAGATAAATAAATCTTTAAAAAACAAAAAAAGTAAGTTTCGCTGGAG